GCGTGTTCCGTCTCGAATGAGTTAACAAAAAAATAATAATTTATACGGTTATTCTTACTTTCAGTAACACGTGAAGATAAATTTTGAACTTCATTTTTCAATTCAATATTTGCATAAGCTAATCCAACACTATATAGAAACAAAAAACAACTTTATGAAAATTTTACATTAGAAAATAATTTACCAAACAATCATAAAAATACAAACAAGACAAAAAGAAAGTATATGCCGAGTATAACTACACCAACGTCGATAACGTGTTGGATTTCTATCAAAAATATAAATAAATAATAGTTATTATTATCTTTTTTTTTTCTTTTTGTTTATATTGAATTTATTTACACTTTTGTAGAAGTACTTTTTTTATTCGGTAAAAATAATTCATCTTCTGAACTAAAAAGAATTTCATTTGATAATCGATTATTATGACGATTCGATCTTGATGTTGATGAACGAAATTTTAATAAAGCATCAAGTTGTTTACGTTTTTTCATTTTTTTATTAGAATGACGTGGTGGATTATAAGATATACCTGCTTCCAAATCATTCATAAAATCATCCATGAAACGAGAATTATTTTGATCTGATTGATTTGGTGAATTATCATGTAATTTAATTGTTGTAGAAAACATTTATGTTTCAAAAGTAATTAAATGATCGTTTTTGATCGATTGAATCAAATGAAAAATGAAAAACATCTAAAGAAGAAAAAAAAGAAAAACAGTGAAGCATGTCATTTTGTATAAATGCCTTATACGTGCGAATATCAACAATGCAATTATTCAATTGGTTTTTGTCTATTCAACAATAAAAACTATTAGAATTTTAGATGATTCATTTTAAATCTCATTCAAAAAAATCCAGATATTTGTTTGAAAGAAAAATATGGGTAATATTTGAGCTCCGTTTTTTTTTCCTTTGAACTTCCATCATTAAATATCCATGGCCATTAGTCAATAAAAAAAACCTAGAGGGCAGTAGATACCAATATAAAAGAAATGCTTGTTGCCGTTAAATTATGTTATGTTATATTGTAAAACTGTAGCAAACAAATTATAAACTTGTTCATTAATAAAATAAAATATTCATAATAAGAAAAATAGATTTTATAATTATTTATTAAGCATCATTTCTTAATTTAAAACATTAATTCAATATTTAACGTTTAAAAGCTATGGGTAATTGTTCTAGCAATGAAAAAAAATCGACTGCTAAAATAGAAATTCTGGACACTCAATATTCGAACCTATCAAGTCCAAAATGTTCGGACCCGAACTCAGATTTGATTGAGTTCGGAACCAACCCAACGGGCTCTACTCAGTATGATCATATTATAGTTAAAAATTAAAAAAGATAAGTTTTTTTTCTTATAGTGATACAGAATGTCACTTGGAAGAAGCATCCAATCTTAGCGACATAAATGTATCACGTTTCATATAACACTAGGAACCAATTAAATAATATATTTGAATGTGTGCGGCCGTCCTTTGATCCTACTCGTGACAATCCTTAGAAGGAATCAAAGTAGTCAAGAATTTGCCTACATAATACTTCAAATAATACATTGGCACATAAGTTCTGAGAGGTTTTTTTGTGCTGTAAGCAAGTTTGAGACTTTATATCTCGTGATTGGAAAGTGATAGAGGTCTGAAATTTTTATTGTAGATAGAAGTCATAGAGATTTATCTACATTAAAAATTTCAGATCTCTATCACTTTCCAATCACGAGATATAAAATCTCAAACTTGCTTACAGCACAAAAAACCTCTCAGAACTTATGTGCCAATGTAATAATTCTTCTATTATTCATAGATTCATAGAATATTTCATGTCATTATGATCGAATGTCCCTTGGAATAGACATTCTGTTAATAATATCGTACGGAGCTAATAGGACATTTAGAAACTTACCGAATGGTTGTATCTGATATCTTGACGTTGTACTAAGAGATGTCATTCAAAAAGAAAAACAAAATAATTATGAGTAAACTAAGTTTTTAAAGTAAAAAATGAGTTTTAAAAAATTATGGATTTAAAAACTCTGTTGTATCATCTGACAATCACGTAAGAAGGATTTAGTTTTTACTTTATGATTTATAAGATCATCTTAATCTGAGAATACACTGATTTTTGCATATAAAGCTTTATTAAATATACAATAGTAAATATTGCAATGTCTTTTAGAAAGAACATTCGTCTTTTAAGTGTTATAATTGAATTACATTTATTCAAGAAAAAAAAGAACGATGATACTCTTGTATTTTATCGATTATTCGATGTTATGACATGTATCATTCGTCCATTTTTATTAGATTCAATAACATTTCCTTAACAATCACATCCAATATGAGTTTTGCCCATACCTAATATTGATTGTTATATTAATGGAAATTTTTCTTCTCTACAATTATTATCAAAATGGAGTTTAAGAATTATATATTCATTATTCGAACGAGTTCGTAAACATTGTTGTCGCATCATTTTATTATGCATATAACAACGAGAATTATTAGACGTTGAAGATGATATTGTTGAACTTGAATTATGACTATCCATTAATAAATATCGGTTTAAGAGAAAAATAAAATAAAAAAAACACAAAATTAACGCTTGGATTTCATAAAATATCCTACATAAATTTAATTGGGAAAAAATTTTTAAAAATATTTCAATCTTTTCATGATTAATGTTTTGTACATTTGTAATTCTGTTTTTTTTCAATGATATATGATCTGTATCAGTTTTACTCAAATATTTTTTAATGTGAAATATGATATTTATTGATGTTATTGCAATGCTACAGAATTTATTCTCATTTATATCTGTGTCTCAAGATACGATTAATGTTCTTATTGTGAGATTTAAACATATGTATGACAACGCGAGAGATGAAAAAAAAACAGCAAGAATAGATTTTTAGTAAATTTATTCTTTTTATAGAAACATCAGCAAATGAAACTAAAATAAATAATCAATCCTTTGAGATCAACAATTTCTTTTTCTTTATTGATAGAGAACAGATTAAAAAGGCATAATATAACAAAAGCTACCCTAGCATTGTCTAGTCTTCTTTTATTAAATCAGAAAAGTATAGAGAAGGAGAAACAATGTGAAGTTGTAGTAAATCTTATTAAAACAACCTTCATCTATGGAACGTCAATAAAGAAAAGTGGGAAAGCAAGAGAGAGAGAGAGAGAGAGAGAAAGGGAGAGAAAATATGACTGACATGGTAGAACAGTAGGAGGTTTTGTTATTATGCTTAAACTTCATCTATTTCTGCTATATAGAACTTTTTTCAATTTCATATGAATTATTTTATTTTTTATTATTGACAACAACATCAATACATTGACTTGAAATTTTTCATCTGTAATAAATGGGAACTACTTATGACTATACATATGAATATGAAGTAACAGATACAAACAGACATCATCGTAATACTGGTGGAAATGCTGGACATTATACTCAACGAACAGTTGGACAACAACCGCATTATGGAGCATCTCTTCCACATGCAAGTCGTACAGATATGATGGATTCATTAGCCAATTTACAACATGATCGTATATGGCACAAACTTTATGATCCAGTTGATGCAGATAAAGCAACACATGAAACTGAAATTCAGGTTTGTTTATATACCTTTATATCTAGTAAAGATAATCTCAATTCTATCAAGTTGATTATTAAAATAAAAACAAAAAATGTGTTCATATACACCGATAAGATAATAATGACGATTATTTGTTGTTTCGTGTTTATTGAATGTTAAAGTGCAACATGAGATGTTCTGCAACATCATAGAAAACAAAACATTTTTCAATGACAGATATAAGTAATACATATAACACAATACGATAGAATTTGAACATAAAATGATTTTGTTAGAAAATCTGCTTACATGCAATGATCAAAATAGTTGACTTGCATAATTTCCTTTTCTTATTTCGAGAATCTTTTTTTTTTTTTGTGCATGATTAGTCGTCACAACAATCAGCAACATAGATACATATTTTATGTAACTAAGCGACAGTAAAATGTTGAAAGAAAAAAAACAAGGAGGGAATATGGGCGAAACCACACTATGATTGATGTTTCTTTCTCTTTCTACTACAGTTACTTGTCACCTTTTTTTTTTTTTTTTTTTTGTTCTTTCGCTTTGATCGTTTGTCTACATAAAACAAACAACAATATGATTACAATTAAAAAGCAGAAAGAATAGAAAAATCGTTTCTTAGTAAATTTGTACCATGCCAATTTTTGTGCGATACTTCTATTATGGAAGGAGGAAAGAAAAAAAGAAGAAAGAGCAATTGAATAGACGAAAGAACTTGTTTTTTTCTCTCTCTCTCTTCGTCTCTTATTCGCACAAATTACAGGCATATTTCTGAAAAAAAAAACTTGCAAAAAAATCGAATAAATACAAATAGGTATGTAAAAATCAAAGTTAAACGCCTCCTATTTGAACATCACTAATATGCATATAGACACACCACCTGCTAAAACTTCACCATGTATATGCTTTTCAGCGAACATGCACAAAAACAGCATAATCACGTAGGCAATGATTTGAAAAGTCATTTCTGTTTTTTTTTTATTTGCCATACAATTATAATTATAACTAATTTTTTTTGTAAAGAGAATGGCTCGTCGTCAAGATCGTAAAGTGATTAAAATTGAGGCAGCCTATGGATCAGATCGTCAAACATTTATTGTTAAACGTAATTATGATTTACGTGTACGTGATGTTCAAGAAGATGCAGCAACAACATTTCGAATACCTATTGATCAATTAATTCTTTATTGGAAGGTAAAATAATATTTATAATTTGAAATAATTTCATTTTAAATATTTAGGGTCGAAATATTTGTGAAACACCTAATGAACTATTGGAAACATTAGGTATTGAAAATAATCATACGATGCGTGTTTGTCGAGGTGATGATTCAGCACAACAACAAAGACAACGAGAATTACGTTCTTATGCTACAATGGATCAACAATATTCATCATCAAATGATATTTATAGACAACAACAACAACAACCTTATTACCCTCAACATCAACAACAAGTTTATTCAAATTATCCAACAATGTATGATCAACAACAACAACAACAATATACGACTAGCCCGCGGTAAAAATTTTTTGAATTGTTTAGCTTGTTCTTTCTCGTATAATAAATCTAAAAACAAAATTTTAAAGAATAAAAAACATATTTTAAATTTGGATCTGTTAAAAAAAACATCAAAAAGAAAAATCGGTAAAAAAAAATTATTTCTATATTTATTCAAAACAGTTTCTACTGTGATTGCACCTGTGCTCACGGCAATTATAATAATTGTAATTGTTGTTGTCATCATGGCTCGTAAGTTTCTTGTTGTTTTTTTTTCCTATATACAACAAAATGAATAATCATTAATTATCTCTTTTTCCTACCTAATATCCGTTGCTTTAGGCATTTTCACTATCGTCCAATTTAAAAACATTAAATATATTTTTATTCCATTGATTTTATTTTTTCTTTTTTAAATAAATATCAACCTTTCATTTACCTGCTCTATGCTGTCGACTAACTAAATCTTTTTTTAGCACTAACTATTATCAACAATTGACTAGTCCAAATATATCGGGTCCTGTTGCTGCTACTTATGTAATCAATTTACAAATTGGTTTTGGTGATCATGTTGAAGGTCTTATTATTGGTCGACCACATCCAATAACAGTTTATGATTTACAAGTTGAATTACAACAACGTTTTAATATTCCACTACTCGAACAAAATGTTTCATATAATGGAATGTCATTAGCACAATTTCCACCTGATATTTCACTTGATGCAATTGGCATTGTTAGTAATTCATTTGTTTCACTTTGGTATAAAAATTTTGCTCCCCAAAATCAACAACCATCAAACGAATATTATTCTCCAAGACAACCAGTACCATTATCATATTCTAACGATGGATCTCGAACACCACGTACTAGTGATATGTCATCAAGGTAAGAGAAAAGTGAGAAATGTGTGCGTGTGAATGTTGAACAATAGTCGAAAATATTAGTTGTTGGCTCTCGTGATTTAAAAGGCGAATGGATTTCAACAACATCAGTGGAAACGAAACGATGCCAAATTCTGGCAATCAGGAAGTACTCAAAATTGAAGTATTTCATGGTATGATTATTAAAAAAAAACGATTCTCCTTTTTCTTTTCTATTTCAAAAGAAAATTAAATTATCTATTTTCTAATCTAAGGTTCTGATCGACATGTACTTATTTTACGTAGCGTAAATAATGTACGTATTATGGATTTAATGGAAGAATTACAACGTATAACAACTATTCCAATTCAGAATCAAAAACTTTATTATCGTGGACAAGAATTAAACTTAATGAGAGAACGTTCATTACGTGATGTAGGCATTGATAATAATGCTCAAGTGAGATTAATTGGTGAACCAATAAAAACACGATATGAACCACTGATTACAGGAAATCGAGCTAATTAAATAAGAAAAAAAAAATAACAATATTTTCGAAACCATTTTGAACATATCATATTTCTTTATTTTTATTTTCATTTTTTTATCAGTTATTCACTTTTGTTCATCCTATCCGTCCATTTACGTCCAGAAAAAAAAAGAGTTTTGTAAATAAAAATATGTAGGAAAAAAGATTCAATTATTCATAGTTTATTTTTCCGAAAAAAAAAGGTCGATTTTCTAATGCGAAGAGTAAATTAGGCACTTGCTTTGATCAGCTAAGTTAATAATTTCAAACACATTATACACATTAAGATTTACTCCGTTTCACAATGGGTTCATCAAGTCCTGCTTAAATGCAAAAGCAAAAAAAGTTCCTTGTCCAATATTTCGTTCTTGATGACTGGTAACCATTCAGCATTACTCTTCTTATTGGAAAACATGATTCGTTTATCGAGTGAAGAGCAATATTCTAATTAATAATTGGTTTAGAACGTTGTCATGCATAGTCATAACATCTATTATTTTTGAATATAATGACTGTCACATGGCTGGTAATTTTTATCTAAAAACTAGAATAAGTGAAAAATTAATTATACTATGTATATAAACTATGGCAAATAGTTATTAGTTATATGATTTATTTATTTTTTTATTCTTTCCGATTACCGATGACGATCAGACCTTAATAGTACACATATAGAAAAACGGAAAGACAATAGCAAACCAAAAAAAAAAAAAGAATTTACTTACACGGGAATGTTTTCAACTGTCCAATCGCTTTTAGATTCGAACTCTGTGCATAAGATAGACTCCAGTCAGATATGAAAAACTCGTAAAGATAACTCTTCTTGAACCTTTTGTTCAAAGTTATAGGTATTTTACTAGCATTTCAGCCTCAAGCAGAGTTCGGATTCAAAAGCAATTGATCAGTTGAAATCAATATAGCCTGAGTAGGACACTGAAATACATAAATAGGCTTTGTAGATCTGAAATTAAAATATATCAGGAAAATTTCTCAAAATACACAAATCTAACATGTCATAATTAATTACCGAGCAAGCGCAGAGCACTGAGAAACACATCATTCTGCACATTTTTTCAGGAATAGATATATGTCCAATAATTTTTAATAAGAGTTCACTATCAATGGAATCTGATAGCGCAGCTAAATATCTATTCCAATACTTAAAACATCTATTTTCTAAAGAAATTTCACCACATACATTCGCAGAAAAGGTATTTGACGATTGAAAACAATGCATAACTCTTCTCAGGATGGTAGCGTAGAATTGAAATAGATCATCACGTTGTTTTTTATGTCATAAGTAGGAACAATACACATAACTGGGTAAGGATGAGCAACACATAAGACTGAAAACGATTTCGTCTCAATACGATAGATGTAGTGTCTGTTATTCGAAAGAAATTTATCTTTATAACTTTCTATCGAGTCTTAATCATTGTACTCAAATCAATATTAATTATGTAATTTAAACAATATTATTTAACAGTTTTATTAGAATCCATTGACAAATTACAAAAGATTTGTGCAGATAATTTCATCTATCATTATTTGGAATTTAGAAAAGTCTGTATGATGTTTCCTTTCTTTGTCCTGTTTGTAAATTTTTTCATCGTGTTTAAGTATGTTAAAAAAATTCTCAACCAAGAAAATTGTCAATATTGTTTTTTATGAATGCGACACACTCAAACAGTGGGTGTTAAAAGCAATCAGATACGTTTCATACTAAAAAACATGTGTCGATCCGATTGATGAAAATGTTGTTTTTGAAATGGAATCGGACAAGGTTTTTTTTTCACATTACATGTTTCTAAAGCAACATTTTTTGCATTGTCACGTATTTTGAAATCAAAAACGTATATTACCACGTTTTCTAGGCTTTCCATAAGCATGTCTTTCGGAGTATAACTACATTCAGGAGTCGTGCAATGTTTCTTCGGCATCGTGTCTATGTCGTGTTTGGCATTAATATGAATAACTTAATGTATTCATTCGATGGAAAAGTGACAGTAAAATAAACTTGCTCAGTTGAATGAAACAACTAATAAGATTCAAATCAACTTATCCGATAATCTCAAAATCTTATTTATAAAAATCATAGGTACATAATGGAAACTAATTTATTTAATTTCAGAATAAAAGATACACGATTCCAATATATTTTGAAATCGACACGATAATATTACTTTTGTGTACGAGTCCGACTAAAATTACTATTTTAGTTACTAAAGATTCAGCACTACGATTAATTAAAACCAAATAATAAATAGACATTGAATTAGAAATGTCACTTTTCACACTTCGCCATTATCTTTATGAAGATTTTAGTATTCAAAAAGGTATTTCATTATCAACATACTTGTCTATCAAAACTGATGATGAAAGATCTTTCACCAATCGATTGTGCATGCTGCAGAAGTAGTTTGAGAGTTATCTGGAAGATGACGATAAAGAAGGGTGTGGGTGTGGGTGTGGGCGCAGGTGGGATGTTGCGGATGTGAGTATGGATGTGTGGGTTTGAGGTATGGTTGTATGAGTGTGAGATGTGGGTGCGGATATTCTCTTGCCCCACATCCACACCCTCTGAGCCAAGATCTTCATTGGTAGTTCAAAATAGTTTTCGAAGAGATAACTCTGTTGGTTCTATAGATTTCTCGATGTATGCAAAGGTGGAGACGATCAATCTGTTCTCTATGCAACCATAGTATTTACATTGTCATCTCAACTTTATACGGACTGTGTCCGTATGGATTTTGTTTATTAACTTATCTTCATTATCCTCGATTGTGTTGTTTTTTGTTTCACATTCTTTCTGCGATATTTGTTTGTCTTTGTTTTCACTGGTTTATTTAAACGATTCGATAATGACTAAATACTAATATTATCTACAAATTTCTCTTCTTCACTGTTGTTCTCGTCATGACTACCGATTATTAGATCTAAAATTTCGTCTACTCATTTTATTTATGGTCATCCATATGAAATTCTTTCTATGTCTTCTATACTACAGTCCTCGTTGTCTTTTTCATAATAAGAATTTCTACAATTTGTTGTCTGCTTGTAGTCTTTTCAAATTTTCAATCTTTTCTTCAAAGCATTTTGCTTAATAACACAAATCATGCCAAGAAGTATTTCTTTTTTCTTTTCTTGTATTTTGTATAAACGCCTACCATGGACGAGAATTAACAAGAAATACGTCATTCATTGCTTGTATGTATCGAAGAATTAACACAACATGCGTGTTAGGCATTCATGCATTCTCTATCGTGCATATGCAGCATATTAAATTACTTTTTTTTCCTTTTTATATTTGTTTGAGAAGCACTTCAATTCAGTCTTCGATAAAGAAATCGAATGAATGCAGTTCATTTCAATATCAATGACGTTGATCCACAATTATTCTATAAGAAATAATATTTTTTCGTTTCTGCTGCAGTCATCATAGCGACTTATTTATAGAAAACATTGATCATCGTTCTCTTTTAACAACGAGTTTTATCGACAATCAGCATTTCATTTTTTCCAGTGAGGACATGAAAAGAGACAAAAAAGTTTGTTTGAACCAAATTCATTTTTCAGATAAAATCATCTTGACAACCAGGACGTTACCATGAATACGGCAGCAACGGCACCACCTCCTTACGGTACGTGATACGAATTTTTGTTTTTCTCGTTATTACAAATTTTTATTTATGTCTTATTCTACGGTACGCCAGAAGAAAAAACTACTCCTTATCCGAATCAAAATGCACCACCAACCGGATATCCAACACAACAACAACCGCTATTTGTTGGAACACCGATGGTTTATCTTTCCGAATATCCAGTACAATGTGTTTGTCCTCGATGTGGTGCGCACATAGTGACACGTGCAGAAAAAACAACGGGTTTATTTACTTGGCTTCTCTGTGGTGGTCTAGTAGTCTTTGGTTGTGTGCTCGGCTGTTGTCTAATTCCATTTTGCATTGATTCCGCCAAAGTCTGATCGATTTTATTTTATTTTATTTGTGTAAATTGACTTCTTATTTTAGGATACGGTACATTATTGTCCGAATTGTTCTTATGTACTTGGTGCGAAAAGGATGATATAATTCTCTTATTAACTATGAAAAAAAAAATGATCGAATGAACTCTTATAATTTTTTTCTTGTTCAAATGAAAATCTATTTAAATGATTATAAGTGCTTTTTTCAATAGAACAGAAGTTGCGGGTATGGATATAGATGAGTGTGAATGTGAGTATGAGTATGAGTGATAATTTCAAGAATTTACACACCTATGTCTAAAAGATTTCGACGATACGGTGCAATTCATATGAAGCATATTCAGGCACTAGAAAACAAACTGAGAGACACGATCACTTTATAGATCGAAGATGAAATTTTTCGATAGACATCGATCACTTATGGCCAGCGGCGATCGTAGCATGGAATAAATCGGTATCCATATTTGGCATATTGGAACCGTCATATGCTAGAAAGTATTCAAATTTTTTGAGATTGTAGTCAATTCAAAAAACAATATTCGTGATGATCGTTGGATATCAAATAAACGTCTTGCGTTTCTCTACCTCATCATTAATCATCGGCATAAATGATCAATATTGAGGATTCAAAATCGAGGAAAATCTCTAATACCATGGAAAACTTTGCCGAATAGCTATACAATCGAATTCTATAGTAGATCAATGGCGCATGACAGATCCTATGTTATCGATACTCGGTCTGACAACTTGAAAATATGTACTCGAATGATTATGCCAATCATACCACGGCGAGTTTCTTCATTAAACAGGAAAACTTCATTTAACATGCGATTGTCATGATCACGATAATCAATTATACAGACACAGAAAAAGTCATCCTCACAAGCATAGATCATTGGCTATTTTTTTCAATGTACAACAATTGATGTATATAACTGCTAGACGTTGATAGGATATCATCTTGGTTTTCCTGACGTAGTCTATTTTGCCACATGGACAGAGAAGTGCGTAGACGAT